TCGTGGCAGACACTCTTGGCAATGTTTGCCTTTCACCTCATGGACCACCGAAACCTCGTGCTTCTGGTTCAGGCCCAGGCGCGGCCGGCAGACACCTAGCCAATGGTCGCCAGGTGGGGCACTCAACTTCTCATAGGCGGCCCGAAATTCGGTCTCCATCGCCTCCAGCGTCGTTCCGGCATTCTCCTCTGCCAAACCGAGCACGCTTATGGTAGCCACCTTGCTCGCGGCATGACGATTCCAAAGAGTTATTACTTCGGCCGGGTGCCTTCTCCCGTCATCGGACACATCTACAACGTGTCTTGCTAACTGGGACAACACTTTCTCCATCAAACACGCACGTGTTACCGTTTCGTGTGCGTCGGAGTACTTCGTGTACGCCGGATCGATTACGACCTCAATTTCCGTGCTGCTTTTGCGGAACTGGATTTGCTCCGCTGAACATAGTCGAAGGTCGGGGTCACTACGTAGCTTGTCCAAACACTGCAGGCCAATTGTCAGAAACATTGTAGGGGTCATGCGATGCTCCAAACCCCAGTTTAAACGCACACAGCCTTCAAGAGTATCAGGCAGTCCGAGGGCCTTATCCTCACTCGGAGTTCTGGCTGCCGAGAACTTCGCGCTAAACACACCCTTACTTTGCAAGACCGCACACTCGTCTCCGCAACCCAAAAGACTCACACCCAAAGCAACCGCTAAAGAAGACGATACTTCGCTGGAAGCCCTGCAACTCCACATCTTGCCCGAATTAAATTTCGAAGTCGCGATCACCGTCGCAAGCGTCAACGCAGCGCGCCGTTACCCTGTCACCGTTTGTTCCAGGTTCGCTCGGTGATGTACGTTCAGTTAGAAGCTCGGCAGTGATCTCCAATAAGTATTGGCGGTACATGCTGTGGTATATTCCCGTGGCCTACGAGAACAGTAGACGGACTGTGCTAAAATTCAAACACTCCAATAGTGCGTTAATAGACAACCCAGAAAGGACAGTGATCAAGGCAGTGAGAAAATGAACCCGCCGGGCCTGTCTTGATAGGATATTTTTAGCCGCAATATTCGCCTAACATTAGGCGGGCACAGGGGGGAGGCGGGCACAGGGGGGAGGCGGGCACAGGGGGGAAGCAAGCACCTTCCGTTCCCTTCTCGTGAGGTTATTTCCGGCAAGGTACAACAAACTATGACGATCAGGAGTTTTGTGGACGGTAATAACATTCACTTGATCAAATGCACTTCGTCTGTAGTGAGAGGGGTCAAAAGCAATCTCGGTCAAAACCGCCCCATTGCCAGCGCTCAGTAAGCTTTGTTAACGATGAAGAATCATCCACCCAGACGGGTATGGTCACTGTTAACAAGAGCTACCTTCGTCTTCACGCCGTCGTTAATGCTTAATGCACTGGAACCGAAGCAAGAGAGAAACTATAGAAATAGATCCATCGAGCACAGTTGCACTATCTGTGGGAAAAAAA